TCCTAAAATTTCAACCATTTTTTTTTTTTAATTTTTCGGGATGCGTACAATTTTTGAGTCCTTCAGATGAGAGCCAAATTTATAACATGACAAATTTCAGACTATAAAGACAAGAAAAGTGCTCTGTAGTTACCATATGCACCGGTGTATAAATCGACCTCCCATTTTTGATTAAGAGCTAGCAAATTTTGAATATAGTCGTCCGCCGAAAGAATCTTGCCTATCATTGCTTATCATTCAATTCATGGCCTATCTCATTGCTTATCATTCAACGATATTTTCCTACGGCAGGCACTGAACTTTCGTTCCTCACCTCGGAAAGTGCTGCTCATTTAACGTTACCCAGTGGGCACCTGTGAACCTAAGTCACGGAGGCGAGCAACATGACCCACACCACACTGCCACAGATACCCATTTTTAGGGTGGGCCACATTCACACAACAGAGAACAATACACAAAGAGAAACATCCATGAACTAAGCAGGATTCGAACCCGACTTCACAGCCTGGCACGCTGACCACTCAGCCACCTGGCTGGAGCTGGAGCAAAAGTAGACTTCCTGATTTTTGCAATGTTTTGGATTTTTAAAAAGTCTACTTAATACACCTGGATATAGGTATTAGAAATTTATCGACATCTGCATAATTAAGCGACCGCTGACAAATGGGTGCCCTAACCTTAAATCACGTGTGAGGAGAATTTATGATATTTGAAACAGGTTATTCGATTCTTTAAGATAAAAATGCTCTACCTAAGCTTTAAGAAATAATTTTTAACAGTATGGGGGATCATTACCCTTGCCATGGGATTAAATCCGTTTTGAACTCTCATAAGTTCAATATCCAGCTTGGATTTTAATCTCGCTACTTATTTGTATAACTCTTAATTTGTGCTGTTGCAAAGATTATTACTTAAAACAAAAAATGGAATCAGCTTATCCCAATTGTATTAATCGCAAAGTCTTATAAGAGTTTAAAATGTCGCAATAAGTATTAAAGAAAAGTATTTGTATTGTCGCGTTGTTTAAGAAGAGCATTGGAAAATTTACCTCTAAAAATGTTATAGTTATTGTAGCTCAAATTACATGCGTATATATATATATATATATCTTCGA